ATTCCTGCTTCTATCTGCATACAAGCTTCATTCTTCATCACTGTATACTGCGGCAATTCTATTTCTTGGCCTGCCCTGGGAGATGCATTTGAACTTCTTGACCGAAGTTCACCTGAACAAGAGTCTCTCAACTTTGTCTTTTCATTCTTGAAGCTGAACCCATTGGCCAAGCTTTCGGATCTTGAAACTCTATCGAGATGGATTATCTCACTGCAAGTCTTCCTCTGGGAATTGTTAACTTTACCTTCTTCTTTGGTGGATACTTCGTTTGATGTATTAGTCTGCTGTGACAGGTCCATTTCGTCCACAATACCACTCTCAAACAGAGACTTTGGATCTCTTGAATCTGGTGCCACAGAAGCGTAATTATCCACACTAGACTTTCTTACAGAATCTACTTTCTCACTTGTGCTAGTAGATTTTGTTGTACTGAACTTCATAAACTGATCTCTTTCTTTATCTTGAGAGTTATTATTCTCCACTGCTTCTTCTCTGCACACTTCTTCCTCATTCTCATTGTGCTCGAATAATTCTATGCCATTGACACTGTCCAACCTCAAAGAAGCTATCTCATAACCTAGATTTTCAGCAGGGGAAGCTTGGAGATTATTTATACTCTTTGATTGGCTTTTTGAAGCCTTTGCACTACTACGAAGCTCCAAAGCTCTTTGACGTGACTTCGATCTCTGAATCCTTGCCAGAGATAGCGTAGGGTCAAGGGAAATACCCGGTTCTGCTTCATCTGGACAACATCTAGGAGATGTACACCTTGTTTTCAGTTCACAACCAGTAGTTGAGAAACCATCTGTAACCCTTTCTCCTCGGATATACCCTGGAGCTGTACCATCGAGACCGGTTTCAACTTTGTTATTTTGAGAGTATTCAGGGCACAAACAGCTTACATTCTGTTCAAAACAAGTTGAGGCACTTTTAGGGATTATCTCCTCTTGAAAATCCCTGGCAGATGCAACATTAGGAGGGTCCTGCTCATGAGCAGAAGATGGGACACACCCGGCCTCTTCTAAGTTGTTGTGTGACAAATCATGCTGCTGGTCTTCTTCAAGTGACTGATCTTGCAGATGTTGATTAAGCTTAAACGTTTGGACATTGTCGACTAAAAAATTGAATGGCTGTTGATATGAAAAGCCACGACTACTAGCGTAAATGTTGGAAGGTCTTGAATGAGAGAACAGAAGTCCTGAGATTATCTCTTCCTTGTTCAACTCTGGTACACCACAAAAAGTACGAAAATAAGAATCAAGACGAGTGAAAAAACCCGACCAAGACTCTCTAGGCAAAGTCGGAATCAGATTAACTGAGTACAATACTCAGGAAAAAATTCTTAAACCCTAGAACTCAAAAGTGCGTAGTCCGTTTACCCTTTGAAAATCAAACAACTATGCAGCATCAACCGCAGGAAAAAGGCCGATAAAAGCGGAAATCTAAGAAAGACCATCAACATTTGATTTTTAAACTGGAAACTGCAATACTGACATCCATTGGCAAACCAAACTACTTCGACAGTCTTAAGAGGCAAAAAAATCATGTATCACCACCATCGTCGACGTGCCTCGAGAAACAAAAAGAACACGGTACACATACATCAGACATGATGATAGATGAGGCCATTACCGGAAGTTTGAGAGGGAAAAGACGGAGACCAGAGCCATTCCGGAGGAGTGACTCCTTCGAGTATGCACTTGGAGGCTAATTGCTGGTCGTAGAGATTTATCTGATGCTTCACCTGCTCCACGATCCTTCTCTTCCTCTCGAAGATCTGAAGGAAAAGATTTTCCATAGTCGTCGTCTCCTTCGGAATCTCTCTGCCGGAAAAAATCGCCGGTGTCCGACTTCTTGCGAGCGACCGAGAGAGAAGGGAGGACTAGCGCCGATTTGGATTTCAAATTTTTAGGACACAAATCATTTTTTCTTTTTTCGTTGGTGTTTCCACGGGAAAATATAAATATATATATATATATTTAAAAAAGAATAATTTGAAACATTCTTCGAAACGCTGCGTTTTACCGTGAACGGTGTCGTATTACCCAGGAAGACATAAATCCTTCATACGACGCCGTTTCGTTTTTTTATTTGGCCTCCTCCTCGTCTCGACTCCATCGTCTTCGTCTTCTACTTTCTGGGATTCTCGTATTGTTTTGAAGAACAAAATTTTCACTTTAAGAGGACAGATTCGATCATCAGTCCCTATGGATGTCCCTCTTCCAGTCGAAAAATTATCTCTTGGATTGGAATCTGAGTAATTCTAAAGCTCTCTCGTTTTTCTCTCTTTTTTTCTTATTTTTCATGAAATCACCGATTTTTTACGCTTAATCTGCTTGTGAGATTGAGATTCTTGTCAGCTTGATTCTCGCTTTTGATTATGGTGATCCATTTTGTTCGATTAATGGTGTATGAACACTCATTTTGTTTGTCTGAAACAGGGACAAGAAGATTCATGTAGTGCTTGTTGCAACCGGGAGTTTCAATCCTCCCACTTTCATGCACTTACGCATGTTTGGTAAGTTTTTCCAGTTTAGCCTCTCTGGGTTTCATCCTCCCTTTCGGCAATGGTGGTTTAAACTTCACTTGTCTGATTTGAGTTTCTGTTGAACTCTCTAATCGTCTGGTGTGACATTGTTTCATCTTGTTGTTGCATCATTCATTTTTCAAACCAAAATGGTTACCTTTGTAATCTACCGAGTGATTTGTCTTTGTGTAAATCACTAGAAATGGAGTGTGTATATATATGTGTGTTAAGAGATGTACACTCGGTGTTTAGAGCTGGCGAGGGACGCACTGCAATTGGAGGGATATCGCGTTGTTGGAGCCTATATGTCTCCTGTGAATGATGCATACAAGAAGAAGGTGAGACCGACATGTTCGACCTGGTTTCTGTCCCGCTATTGCCCTGCTAATGGATTCGAGAAGAAATGATTGCATTCGTTACTTGTTCTTAGTGGTTATACCCTCAATCTATGGCATGGCTATTGTTGTTGTTCCCGTCCATCATCAGATCATGTGTGTAGGGCCTTCTGCCTGCAGAGCATCGGTTACAGATGTGCAATCTCGCATGCCAAAGCTCCGATTTCATAATGGTCGATCCATGGGAGGTGAGGTTCTATCTCTCTCTCTCTCTCCATAGCTAATGTTATGTTCTACCTTAGGAATTATTCGATTTCGTACAAAACGGACCCAACGAGCTATTTTGTGCAGGCAGCTCAGGACAGCTACCAGCGAACTCTGACAGTTCTGTCCAGGTTTAAGAGTTTCCTGAGACACAATGGGCTTGTACCCGAGGGTAAGTAAGATAAGCACAGTTATATCAAACTGGTTAGGGAATTCCTCGTTTTATTGCATTATATGAACACCCAAAACACGAAAATTGCAGCAATTTTTTAGACGCATTGTATATAGGATAGGAAGATGCTAATCTTTAGTCTGTTCTATTTCCTAGAATCCCTCAGAGTCATGCTTGTTTGTGGTGCCGATCTGCTCCATTCTTTCACCATTCCCGGAGTTTGGATTCCTGAACAGGTCGTGGTTGTAGAACAAAAGAAGTGTCTACTCGATAACCGTTATCCGGTTACTTATAAATGGTTCTTGTCCAATTTCGTTTCAGGTAAAGACGATTTGTAAAGATTATGGTATTGTCTGCATCCATAGAGAGGGACAAGATGTTGAGAAAATCATCTCTGAGGACGAAATCTTAAACGAAACCAAGGTGAGTATACGGAAAGACTTTCTTTTCGGGTGCATCTATTCAGAACAGAACGCATCGTTAGTGACCAGGGTGTATTTCAATTCATCTGCAGGACAATATTAGACTCGTCGATGATCTCGTGCCTAACCAGATAAGTTCAACGAGGTTGAGGTCAGTAACCGGGTATCTCCCGGGCTGGAACATTCATTTCGAACGAAAGATTTTCTATTGCTTATCGATTCAAATCCCATCCCTGTCTTTCCAGGGAATGCATTTCAAGAGGGTTATCCATAAAGTACCTGACTGAAGATGGAGTCATAGATTACATCAGACAGCACCAACTATACCTTAAGCAGTGTTGACATATATAATATATATGGATCAAATATATTTGGATCAAATAAGATCATCATTCCAAAGATGAATGAGACAAAGTTCAAGAATGCAAAAATCTGCCCTTTCTGTTATTCAACAAGAGTTTTCTATTTGGAAGGCACCAGGTGAAGAAGAAACCAGAAACCAGAAACCAGAAACCAGAAACCGGGGCAAAAAAACAAGCAGCACATTCTGAATCCCTCTATAGAAATACAAATTCCTCAAAATCACTTGTACTGATGGCCATATGGATCATAAGCAGAAGGCATGCCTCCTCCCATGGAAGAAGACGACGACGCCCCGCCGCCTCCCTGACCCGCCCCGTTCTGGTAATACCCACCCATCATCACAGACGGGTCGAAAACTCCATACCCATATGGCGGAGCAGTCACCTGCTGAGCCGCCATTGTGCCATGGAACCCACCCGACTTGTACTGACTCTCGCCCCTGAGCGAGCTGCCGCGGTCAGTTTCGCACTCGCGGTAACGGGTGAGAAAAATGGTGAGTGGCTCGACGTAGTCGTCGAACCCGAGCTTGCCCATGGCCCAGAGCACGTCCTCGGCCGTGATGGTCTTGCGCTGCTCGCGCTGGCACCGCTCGTTGGCCTCGCCGGTGACGAAGCTGATGTACTCGGACACGCACTCTTGGATGGTCTCCTTCGCATCGTCGGAGATCTTGGCGTGAGCCGGCAGGATCCGACGCATGATCCTGATGACGTTGGCGATGGGCATGTACTGGTCTTGCTCACGCACCATGCATATCTGGGGCGGCACCATGTTGTCGTTCTCGCCCGCATGGTTCGGGTTCGGATCCTGGCCCGTGGGCTCCCGGGTCGGGTTCGCGTTCGGGTTCTCGGGTTGATGATTCCAATTCAAGCCTAAACCAAAACCAGTAAGAATAAACTTGTAAATAAGGAAAAAAATGAAGATGAACACGTGTGGGGCCCGCTTGAGGAGTACTGTTCAGATTCCTTGCTGTTTTTTGAACTATTGAGCCTTCTTCGGCCCGTTACATTATTCAGAAAAGTCAAAAACTATCTCAACATTAAACTCTCTCGCTGCTTCCCCACAAATTTTCATAAATGGTAAATAAAATTCTCATAAATGTTATATTTGGTAAATAAAATTCTGTCTTGACTAAAAAAAAATCAAGTACTATTATACCAAAAAAAAAAAATTGAGTTCTATATACCATCTCCCAAAAAATTTTGCATGCAATGCAAATTCACACAGCTATTTAGAAAAGAAAAATACATAGTTTAAAATGCATGTCACGAAAAACGAAAACACCACAATTCAATTCAATGTGATGCAAAGAGAGATGATACATACATATATATATATATATATATATATATTCATGATAACACCATGGTCCATGCATTTGCTTAGTTTTCATGTCGGAGAATTGACGGCGGTCAAAACCAGATGAAAACCAGGAAGCGTTTCCATCGTTTTCACTAAATTTTATCTTCCTTTTTTTTTTTATTTGAGTGATACATAAAAATCATAAGTTTGACAAGATTTTATGATTAGCCACATAATTTCGATAAATTATGGCGGTTCTAATTTGTAATAACAGATCCAAATTCTTCACCGATCGAAAATATACAGACGCCAAAGAGCTCAAACGATGTGTATATGTGTATGTATATACACACACATCAGGTGTTTCTCGACATAACACAGCCAAACCCCATGCATGGACATA